GAGTGATTTTATAAAAGACAACAGCTGTCAGAATGATTTATTTACTGAGTTATTGAATTACACTTGAATTCACTTGAGGGATATACATGCAGGTGTAGCTGTGTGCTGCAGATGCTTCACATGAAGAACTGTCATGCACAGAAAAAGAGCCCAATTTTGTATCCAAATCTATTTTTGTTTTCCAAGTCAGGCATTATACTCACATTCTCCACTTACTAGAAGATACCAGATGCATATTATAAGAAACTGTAAGCTTCAGGTTACAGAAAAATTTCCAAGAAATCTTTTTGGAATGTGCCTACATTTTACATCAGACCATCACTGGACATAGCTAAGATCCAAAGTTTACCCCTCCTAAGTAGTAAGCAGCAGATTGGATTGTTCTTTTCAGCTCTTCTGCTGAAAAGTGGTGCTTGCAGGAAGGCAGGCCTTGTCCCATATTCCCTAAGGACAGACTCTGATCAAGAAAAGCTCACGTATGTCCCACATCAGGCACAGCAGAGTCTATCCTTCTTTCTGTACTGCTGGTGCCCACCCATGCCCACCCATCTAATTATCTGCAGCACTGGCTACTATATAATCTCTACATATAAAATTCTTCATATCATGGTGCCACACATTCTTAACTGCTAAAGTCATCATGGTGCTCTTTAGAGGTAAGATGGTTTGATCTTAAATGAGCAGGAATTAGTGGCAGAGAGAATGAATACCCAGGTCTTCAGAGGTACCTATGTAACTAACTACCACCAATTTCTGTCTGTGGTGAGCTGAGCATAAGTAAATTGGTGATGCTCTGGTCCTCAGAGCAGCCACCTTGTTGCTGACACAGGTTCTTGCACCAGCAAGAAATTCAGGGTTGCTGTCTGTGAGATATATCTGAGTATTACCCTTGTTCTGGGGAGGGTGAATCTCTTTGAACTATGTTAGATGCAGTCTGTCAACTGGAAGGTGTCCCTGCCTGTGGCAGGGGGTTTGGAGCTAGAGGATCTTGAAGGTCCTTTCCAACCCAAACCATTCTATGATTCTATGAACTGTATTATGTATCAGGATCTGCAGCAAGGAAAGAGACTTTATGCAAAAATAGAACAATCCCAGCCAGTTCTATGAGGCTGAAAGTACTTCCCTAAAAAATAACAGGACTCACATAAACCAATTCTGAAACTACTGGGAATGCCTGCAGTCATGGAAATACTTCTTAGCAACAATCTCAGAAAATGAGAAAGTAGTGCTGAAAAGAAGCATTGCGACATTGTTCTAGTATAAGCGTGCCTAAATAGAGTGCCATGAAGGGGGTTTAGAAATAAATTTATACATAAAACTAGAATTCCACTTTAAAAACACCAGGTTTACCAGGAAGTGCTGTGGATAATGAAATAGATGAGATTTGAGAGCTATCTTCTAGCTATCTCCCTGTGTGAAGACTTTTAGATAGCAAAGAAAGATAACAGACTGCCACTAAAAGATACAGCAAAGAGCTTGTGAGGTTCAAGCATATCCTTTGGTACAGTGCACAACAGTGTCCTATTAGCGTGTTTACTATTAGTATTAGTGTACTTACAGTAAGTGTAACCCTCACTAGATGATTAGATGGCCTGGCACATCAGTTCCACAGGAGTGGAGACAGACACCAGTTCACTATGCCTGTCAAACAGGTTTGTTAGGTCCGCTCTACAAGTTGCGCCAACTCTGGCTATGTCACTTCTTATTTGGAGCTGTCTTGTACCGGGCTTGCCTGGGGCACAACTGGAATGAGCTCAGGTATGCCTGAAAAGTACCATGTAGATAGACCCTCAAATCAGTCTAGAAGTCAAATAAGGGCCAATGAGATAATGAAAACAACAAAAAGCACATCTGGAAAAGCACTCCAGAAGCTCACTAGCATAGGTCTGTGGAGCGCTGTTTTATGGGCACCCTTCAGAAACAGTACAAAAGCACTGGTGAGCAACTGTGGTGCTAAAGGAACTTAGTGAAAACACTGTTAGATTTTCCTTACCGAAAATGCTAACAGATTTTCCATTATGTGCACTTAGTTCCACCTCTCTGCTTTGGAACTGCTGTATATTAAATTACTTATAGTGCATTTGGAAATGACAGTTTTGTGTGAAAAAAATATGGCTTGGTTTACAGCTTGGAAGTAATTTTCCATTTGCCTGGAGTAATGCATGTGCTACCCCTAAAGCTTTAATTCTTTTCTTTTTTTTTCTCTCTGTTAGTGGGACTATATTTCTTGTTATGGCAATTTGATTTTTCTCTCCCTTGGAAGATGTCTGTGCCTGGTTTTGCCTGGGTAGTCTAGTTAGTCAAAACATAAAAATAAACCACAAAATTTGGGAAAAGTAACTCACTGTTTGTAATTCTAACATGTAGAGTTCTAAAGTGCTAGAAACTGCAGCATGTGGGAACTCTCACAAAAATGGTACTCGCTGTCTTTCTAACGTTGCTTTCTTATGTTCAAAGCCCATAAAAAAAACCACTTTTCACAGCAGGACAGGTCCTGACTTCGCACTGAACAAGGTAAGGATCCCATGGAAAATAGTCATTTAAAGTCATTTATGTCATAAGGTATAAAAATATAAAAAGAAAAATTACAGTTTTCACAGATGACCTTAATTTTGACATTTCTTAAACGTTGGGGGCTTCACCTCGCTATCTTTAACTGTTTTGGGTTTTTTAACACCCCCCCCCATGTGAAAAGTAGTTTTCACAAAGGTTCTGTATTTTGATAGTTGGCCTATTTTAATAATTTAAATCTCCATATAATAATTACATTTTTTCCTACAGTATTTTTCTGTGGCTCTCTCTATTATGTAGTAAAACTACTATGATAAAATAATGCATACATTTAAAAATAATAATTAAGATCTCTAAAAAAGTGCGACCTATCAATTTTTCCTAATTAGCTACACTTCTGGGAAGACAAACAATACCAATTTCAATAATACAAAAGGCAGACTCTATATGAATACTTGAGGGAATTATATAGAGGAACTTAATGCAGTAGTAAAGGAATGATTGATAGATTGACATCAGCAGAAAAGGGAAAAAAATTACATGTAAATTTACAAGCTGTAAATTTGAGCTAATCATGTACTCCAAGGCATCATTCAATATCATTAAAAATTCAAGTGTTTTTAAAGCCAAACATTCAAGCAATTAAGTGCTTAAATCATGACTGAATTTTTACAATAACAAGGATCAAGTATAGCATGTAGAAATTAAAAATTTAAAAGGAAAGGAAACGCATTTAGTATATTCAACCTACCCTTAAATTAAAATGCAAATGGCATAGTGACTGAAGTCCTATACATAGCTGCTGCAGGTCTATGCACACGAGATACCACTATTTTCTAAACTGCTTTGAAATGCTCAGTTAAAAGTATAGAATGAATCACAGAATCATGTAGGTTGGAAGGAACATCTGTAGGTCACATAGTCTGAGCTGCTGACCGGGAGGTTGCTCAAGGCCCGGCTCAATCATATTATGAATATCTCCAAAGATGGATATTTTACAACCTCTCTGCATACCTGTACCAATTTTTGCCCACCTTCATAGTAAAATATTCTTTTCTTTAATCAGATTCCCCCCTCACCCCCTCAACTTGTATATATTACTTCTTGTCCTATTGCAGTGTATTTTCAAGGAGAGTCTGGCTGTGCCTTCCATATAACCTTTCATTAGACAGTTGAAGACATCTATAAGATCTCCCCTTAGCCTTCTTTTAGCACTGAAAAATAGTTACTTTCGGCTCCTCCTCATACACCATGTTCTCCAAGCCCCTGTCCTTGATTGATCATTGCTAGACTCATGCCAGTATGTCCTCATCTGTCTTGTGATGGAAAGAATGAAACTGGACACAGCACCTTAGTTGTGGTCTCACAAGTGCCAAACTGAGTAGAAAACCCACTTTTTCTGCACAGCTTCTTGCTAATGTCTGTAATGTTGCATGAGGGTTTTCTCTCCCTTTGCATTTGCTTTTGTTGAATTTCATGGTGTTCTTGTCAGCCCATTTTCACAGCCTGGCTGGGTCCCTCCCAATAGCAGTGCTGCCCTTTAGCATATGGGTCATTCTCCCCAGTTTGGTATTGTCAGCAAACTTGAAATACACCATAAAAACTCACTGTTAATATTTGCAGGAAGGAAGGAGGTTGGTAAACAATGACCTGACTTCATTCTTGTTAACAGCTCACTAGCATAATTTGGGGAAGCAATATTACTCTGTATCCTTAGCCTGAACTGGAACAGGCCAGTTACCACTGAAAACTGAAAAAAGGCAGTTTTAGAATTGTGCCTTTGGCAAAGAATCTTGTGTTCTCAAATGTAGTTAGGTGAATAATCACTTTTTTTTTCCTTTCTTACAGTATCAGTATTACAGACCATTTTTCTACAGAGGACCTTAAAATGAGCTTTTCTTTAAAAAATTATACTTCCCTGTCTTTCCAAATAAAATAATGACAATGTGAAAGATATCTTAAACTTCATTTGTGTTCATTTTTATCATTGTGGAATATGGGGTGTAATTTTAATGACTATGGGATCATACTTCTTATTTTTCTATACTTTGGAAAAGAGAAAGTATCATAAAGAAACTATTAGCAGAGTATATTTTTCACATTAAATGTTTTTGCCACTACTTTGAAGAATGTTTGACTGAGCCAGCTGTACTAAAAATCAATTAAAATGCATCTGAAAACTTCATAAAGAACACAGCAAGAAATTGCATGGCGTACAAGATAATAGTTGGAAGGAAACACCTGAAAGCAGGCTGAGGACATGCATATCAATCCTCCTGATAAATTACTAGTCAGAAATTAAGCAAGATGACTGCTCAAATACCATCAAATTTGAGAATGTCCATTCAGATAAGCTCTCACATTTAAATAAAAGGGGCAAAGAAAATCTCTCTGTGATTCATGTAGTTATTTTTCTGTTCGGAATGACATGAACAACAGTAGTGCCTATTGTATGGTCTATATTATTTGAAACACAAGGACACCAAAGTCTACGTTTTGTCTCTGAACAATGCACGCTACATAGGATGAGTATGCCTGTCACCAATCAAACCTAATTACTGTCATGTAGCGAAGCAGCACACTACATTGTTGTAGTAGCTGGGGCTTCTGTGAAGAAAATGGGGTGAAGCTATGTTTAAACTGTTCTGAAAGCACAGCCTATCAGGATGCTGCACTCCCTCTGCTCACATTAACTGCAGGTGTTAATTCACCTAAAAGGGAGATTTGGTATCTTTAGCCTTACCAGCAGGTATGTTAAGTTGCTTTTCCTTTTCTACAAGCAAATTCTGATAAGATGGCTGTAATGTTTCATAGTTTTGTTAGAGCCTATATATATATTGAAACAAGATTTTTTTTTTTAAATGAAGAAACTTACAAAAGACATCTCCTCTAAGTCTTTTCTCATGGTTGATCTGATTCTCAAAATCTTCCTTTTCATCTTCATCTGACTCTTCTGCCTCCTCTTTTTCAGCAGCTTCAGTTTGTTTCTCCTCCTCACTGTAGCTCCCACCAAGATCAACACCTTTATAGTCCAATAACTGCAAGTGAGTCTTAGAAGACGGTGTCACGGCTGTTTCTGGGATTGTATTCTTGAGAGTTTCCTGCATTTTCACACTGTTTTTATGTGCAAGAAGTTTCTTAATTGTGTCCTTAGCTGTTCCAGGGATTCTTGCAATTTCCTTCACTGACTTTTCAGGGATAACTAGAACCAAGAAGAAAATATTACATTTTCATCTAAGGAATCATTCAGCAATGACAACATTTAATAAATGGGACCATGGTGTCTTTTACAATGACCAGACAACCACACAGCCGAATTCTTTACTATGAGATACAAGTTCAGCTCTGCACAGAACCCTGTACACATGCACTTGTTTAGCTCTGTTGTATAGATGACCCTCTGTTTCAGTTACAGTGAAAAGACCATAGAAACCCTCTACAATAACCTCATTTGGATTCCTCTGTAACACAGGCCACAGAGCCCCTTAGATTAATTATTTTTACACTGGAGCTTGCATAAGAAAAATTATCCTTCTTCAATTTGTGGACTACTAAAAGTTGTCCATGGAGGTGTGATTCCCTGCATAACAAATGTCAGCCTACAGCCATCTTCTGTGACCTTCTCTGGCCTAATTTTCCTTGCACAACAGGCTGCAAGCCACTGAAATGGAACGTATTTTGAGAGGAAATACATCAAGCTGCTCCATCACATCTGATTTATTTCTAAGGGATATTTAGTTCTAAGAGGTAAACCCAAAAAATTTAGAGAGGCATCCAAGAATGCCAAATTATTATCTTCTTGCAATTCCAAGGTGGACTAGAATTTAAGTGTAAAATTTCCTGAGATTTTTACTCTTTTATGATTCCTCTTGGCTACAAACTAAAAAAATTAAAAAAAACCCCCCAGCTTTGTAGTATATTTCAACTTTGTATTTTGCTCCAAAACACAAATTCTGCCAGAAGTGAAAAACTTAAAGTGGGGTGAAAGTCAGTTGAGATTGCTCAAATCTGTAAAACAACAAAAAAAACCAAAACAAAATCAAATTCAAACACCTGAATGTGGAGGTTTTGCTATTATGAAGTATAATAAAGGCAAATATAGTCTCTATGCTCGGGCAAAAATTTCAAAACATTCATTGGTAAGAGGACATTTTTACTTTTACATTGTAGCCCTGATTTTCAAATCATGCTTTCCTTGTCAGCATGTTGAGTCTCAAGTCACAAACCTTTTATTTCCTTTAAAATTCAATTTTTCTCTCCCTATAATCCTCAAACTGTGTTTGGATGCTTGAATAAAGGACATTTTTCATAGACCCATTTGAAGATGCATTTTTAAGGATGTGGGGAGGCAGGATTGATTTTTCCACCAATGGTGGGACCCAGTAGCAGCACAGAGGGCTCCTTTAAGACAGTATGTTGCCCAGCTGTTCTCCGTGTTCTCTTATGATGGGAAAATTAGCAGTTGACATGAAATGAGGATGGATTTTAGTTACATATTAGGAATAACTTGCTTACTATCCTTGCTGTAGGATAGTAAAACACAGGAGCAAGACACTTAGATTATTCGAATTGTATCTCTAGAATTTTTTAAAAATTATTAGGCTACCATCTGTCATTAATGTACTGGATATGATCTGCCTCAAAGCAAAAGAGCAGACAAACTGATCTTTTTAGTCCCTTCCAAATGTACTCTTCTGTCATCTGAGAAAGACTGATGGCTCTGTGCTGATGGCCAAATCATAACTGAGGGTTAAAGCCAGGACTACTTTGGATCATTTTGTTCAAGGTATGTGTACAGTACAAAGCAAATTCAAAGGAGAAATTATGGTAATACTTCAGGTGTGGAAGGTGTCCCTGCCCATGGCAGGGGGTTGGAACTACATGATCTTTAAGGTCCCTTCCAACCCAAACTGTTCTGTGACTCTGATGCTGCAGTTTGAGTCCTGTATGTGAAGTACGTAGAAAATAATGTGAGCTGAGCAGTTCCAGTGTGCTGTACAAAAGCTCTTCCACAGACAGAGACTATTTCCACCAATGGGTTAGAATAGCCTTATATACTCTTTCTTATCTTTGATTTTCATTCAGTATTGATGTTGCAGTGACTATAGCCTTTTTGGATTGCAAATGGTGGGGGAAGTCAGCTATTTTTATTTCCTGCTGCTTTTGCTGTCTAGTGATGAAATTATCAGGACAAGAATATATTCCTATTATACTCCTCACTTTGTAATAGTAAAAACTTTATAGTAGTATTCTGGGCAGATGGACTAGACTTGTAACCTTGGATTGTACTTTTTTTCCCTGTGTGTTTCTTTTCATGCAAACATAGCAGAAGAAAAACACCAGATAATAAAATAAAATCATAGTCTAGTAGGGAAAAAAAGGAAAGAAGCCTGAATTTATATTCACTCCTGGAAAATACAATTCTACCACTGAGAATTTGCCACATTTTATTTATGGCAAATACAAGTACATGTTATTTAGTATAGGTAGAGAATTAGACTCTCTGTATGCTCACTGGAGCATTCAGGCTTTTTGAGGCTTCTGTTGGAGGTATGAAGTAAATGGATGACAATAAAATATAGATCAAAGCTGAGGTTTTTATTTTTCTTTTCTTTTGGATAAAACTTGCAGCCTTCCTTGTCAGATATTTGCAAGTAAGCTCTTTACTAATTCTCAACTAAGTAAGACTTTCCTCTGGAGGATGACGTAACGAAGGATGTAAGGTTCTCTGGGTTTAAACTCAGAATGCACCAATAAAAATTACAGGAAAGCTTAATTCCAAACACATTTCCTCTTGACAATCAGTAACAAGAAACATCAGACTTAATAAAGTGTCTATGGAGATTCTCAAGCCAGGACTGACTGGTCAGCCAATCTTAAACATCTGCTATTAGTTTCTGTTTTTAAGTTTTCCTAGTCAAATTAAAAATTCTTACAGGTCAACATAATAACCTCTGTGGTGTCAGAAAACCAGTCTCCTTGTATGTGCAAAACTAAGCAGTGCAAAAAATCAGCTGACAGGAGTGACAAAAATAGGGGGATAAAACTGTATAAAACCCCATGCACTTGCACACTCCAGTTTGCTGCTGCAATATGTAAATCTATATGCTCATGGGGACAAAGGGGGACACCAAGCATGTTTTAAGGATGTATCACTAGTATCCTTCTAACCTGTATTCAGCTTTAGAGTAGCCAGAGGTGCAGATTTATGGCTTTATATGACTCACCATAAATTGCAGGAGGAATAATCCAGTGTAAGGATAGAGCACCTTAAACTCATTGAATCCACTGCCTGTGGACTTGCCTGAATGAACAGGTCCTCTCTGACAACCCGGGATGATACAACTGAAGCAGTAATTTTTCAGGATCCCTTGTCCCAAGATGTGTATATAATGTACAGGTGTTGCTCACAAACATTTGTGCATTTATCTATCTGTATGAGTGCATAGAGAGTTTTGGAAAGTGAAATTTACTGCATTTCATTCAGGTCTTCCTTATGTACCTTCCATCAGGAAGCATGCAGATTGATGCCTCCTGCTCTTTTGCAGTTTGTGTTTATTGCCCTAGTATGAAAATATTTCAACTTTCAAAAGTATTTTAATCCTTTGAATGAGAGACAATTAAAGGAAAAACAAAGGCAAATGGTGGCTGAGGGCTAAAATTAAATCTTTTCTGTCATCAGTCGCTGTACAAGATTATAAAACCACAGAAATGTCTTGGTGTAGGATGTCTAATGATGAAGTTGCGAAAGTTGAGATGGAAAAAGTATAGAGAAAGCAGATGCCAACCCCCCTTCATTGTGTAAAGGGAAATACTCAGGGGATGATACAGGAGAGGGACAGATCGTAATCTGTTCTCCTTCCACATACCCTGTGACAGCAGCCAGTGCTGGCTGGTGCTCCGAACATAAGGGGGCTGCAACATGAGACAGCTTGCTCTGCACTCCAGCAGGCACTGTGCTGCTTTCACCCTCATACCTAGCAATATACTTAAAAACCCGGTGACAGACAAGCCTAGGAGATTGGTTTACAAATCCTCTTGTATCTCCCTTTGTAGCTTCTGTATAAAAAAATTGGAGAGGGGACGAGGGATGCAGACAACCATTGACCGTGTTTAATCTGTAGATATGTGTAAAGATTAGATCAGCAGGACATAGTTTCAGAAATCGTTCTGAAAATTCTCAACCTCTTTTAGATAGCCTTAAGAGAGCCTGAAAGCTTTCATAAATATGTTAAAACACAGATTCTAGACTATTATTCTCTTTTAAGCACCATGGAATATAATCTACCAATGTATATTCCTGGCCTTTTGCATTTCTAAAATTCTTACCATGTTATTTAGGGAAGGATGTTTTGAGAAATCAGGGTAAGTTCATCACACTGGACTATGCTTAATATAAGACTACACCAGTCAGCAATGCTTCCAGTAGGAAATGTGGGGTGACAAAAGCCTAAGTGTTATTCACGAAAAGCTGACAGCAGTATTTGGCTACATACTGAAGTGAATTTTAAGAATCTTGCCAGTGGTATGACCAGAATTGCTTTTTAAGCTTTGAAATTTTATTACGTTGAACCCAACTTCTCTCCTCAATTAATAAGAAAGCAAAATCATATGTGGGGTTTAGGGGCTACCCTATGAGCAAAAAAGAACATGAGTAATACAATAGGCACAGAGAGAGTTGGAATGACTATTTATTGGCATTTAGATATCCTGCAAAGCATAATGAAGAATAGCGATCTCCCTCTCCAGAGTGTCATTGTTGAGTTCTGCCTGAAAGTTGTAGGCTTTAAGTTAATACTGCTTTTTCCTGTTATTTTGTAGTGTCTTACCAAAAAAGTGAATCAAAAATAGATCCATTTTTTCCCCCAGGAATCTTAATTGCTTATGGAACCTTATGAGACTCTAAAGTAAAAGCTGAAATACACATAGAAGCATGCAGTGAGGGAAGTGTGGTTTTTCAATGCACAATAAGAAATCAGGAAACACATGAACCTGAGAACAGCAACAGATTGCAGGAAGATGGAGGCCAGATGTGGAAATGGCTAGAACCCTTTTAGGGAGTATTTGAAAGATTACATCTCTATGGATTCTGTGTGCTAGAGACAGTTTGGTAAGAGCCTCTGATGTTCCATGCATATAGGAGTGTTAAATGGCAAAATGGTGCCTGAACAATCAAAGGTCGTATCCATACAAGCAGTACTGTCTTAAGCCTGATGTTTCAGCAGCTTTCTCCTGAAGTTAGTATATTGACATACAAATTGAATGAAAGAATTTCCCCCACTTTCTGTGCAAAAGAGAATTTTATATTACCTTACTTTTTAGGTTACTTGGTAGCATGAGGAGATGTGGCCATAGAAATTTCATTATAAACAATGTTCTTAGTTACTTTCATTTCATACTCTGAAAATTAAGCTATAGATTAAAATGTTTTTCATTTGTTATAAAAAGCTAATACTGCTGCCATGGTAGCCTGTTTGTTATATAGTAGAGAGAGTTGCCATAAAGAATTAATACTTCCCTGTGAAAACAGGATTCTCACTTTGTGGGAATAATTATGTGGAGTATTGAGGACATATTTAAGAAGCCTTTTGTTTATGTGCAGCACAACCCCAGGACCAAGTGCTAGGAGCTGGGATGGGCTGCAGGAGCTGCAGCCGCTGCCACCAAAAGAAATGTGAAGCCACATCCTCCAAATTCCCAGGATGGTGTTCTCATCCTATTAAATCCAATAGCAAAACTTCCTTTGGCTTCTATAAAGCCTGTTTTCCCTGTTTCTTCAGGACAAATGTTCTTTTCTGTTCTACTTGCAATTCCTAGTGGTACTATGAGACTTAGGGACTCATAGACAAATCGAATTTGAACAATATTTGTATGCACTATTCAATGACTGGTACAATCAATATATTATTTTATGGAGAGGTCTTGCTTGATTGGTATTGAAGCAATGTTCAGCATGTCATTTCCTAGAAAATGCCTTATAACCATCAATTATCGTAGAAAAACAATGTATCACTATTCCTGACATCCAATAGTACTCACCAGCACAATCAAATCCGCTTCCTCGGTAGCCCTGTTTACATTTGCATTTGAACGATCCTTCGGTGTTGAGGCACTCTGCATGCAGGTTACACCTGTGTGTATTTGTCACACATTCATTTACATCTAGGGACAG